ACAGAAAAGGTTAAGCATCACTGAACTAAACAATCATACAACAGAACAAGCAAACAAAAACCTAAGGTACTCCCTTAGATCACATTTAAGATTCAAGAACATAAAAACTGCTATGCTGGATCAGATTAAAGGTCCATGTAGCAAAGTATCTTGTTCCTGACAATACAAAAATGACAAATGCTTTAAAGCAGGAGTAGGCAAACTAGTAGCTGGTCTCCATTTCCCAGCAACCCCTGCCATTTTGGCTGGTTTCCATGGAGACCTGAGCAATGGCAGGGCTGTGACAGCATGGGGCCAGGATTTCTATGGAGACTGACCCCAGCAGCACTGGCAGGGTAGCACAGCTGGGCAGGGAGCTGCTCTGGGGCCAGGATCTAGCAGCAGTGAGTGTGATGCAGAGCCGGCATGTGGGCAGCAGATAGCAGTTCTGCCCCAGCTCTGGACCATGCTGTCACCGCCGCAAAATCCCAGCTCTGGAGCAGCTCCTCACCCAGCCACACACCTTGCCAGTGCTGCTGGAAACTCTGACCCCGCACTGTCACAGCCCCGCTACTGCTGGGGTCTCCGTGGAAAGCGGCCTCAATGACGCGAGCAGGGGCTGCTAGGAGTCTGCTGAGGGCTGGACTTTGCCCACCTCTGCTTTAGAGCAATACTATAAAAAACAGAGCAAGTGTAGAGTGATCTAACCCTTATACCTTCCAGCAGTCACAGATTTAGTCTAGTTTCTAACTTCTGGTTGAACATTGCCCAAATGATAGTATTTCTTAATACTTTAAGAACTAAAGATACCTGAATATCTTTCCAAGACCATTTGAGGCTTTTCTGATAACTGCTTTCATGCAGTAATACCCTCTCTTTGCTTTCTGCCCACCTTGTACATTCAAGGACAGATTAGGTAAGCGCCCAATGGGATTTTCAGAATTGCTTAGGTACCCATCTTCTATGGACTCATTAGCACCTAAGATACTCTGCGAATCTCATTAAGTCTATATCATTAGATACTGTAATATCTTAAAATGTGGCCATTAGTGCTTTTACATGAGTCTTTAAAATAATGTGGCTCCACTGCAGAGTCAATATTAGCATTTTTTTCCACTCAGAACAATATCTTCATTGTGCTATGGGGTAACAATAATTTCAAAGGCTGCCATAATCAACTCCACATAATCAAATAGGATAAGGAAAGACTCTGCAAGGAAAGCAGACAGCTAAGAATCTGGCTCTGAGAAAGCTCGAAGAAGCAATAAAGGAAAGTAGAGGTTGGGAAAGGATTAAAAAGAATACTTAAGTGGGGAAGTTAAAGGGACTTCCTACATTCAAAACCTCCAACTACAGAGGAAATACTAGTAGTTCAAAACTTCCCTAGCTTACATCAGATGAAGCTAAAGCATCTCTTCAGTCATTGAGAGCTGTAAATGAGAAAACAATTTAGTTTTCTCAGGTATGTAAATACATAAAAAAATTAACAGAGTATAAAAAAACACAATTAGACAGGTGTAGTTAGTAAAGAGATTGATCCTAAAAAGTGCATACATATGTTTTCTTAGTAAAGTTGTTAATATAGAGTGGTAAGGCCCAATCCGTGCTCTTAATGTTCTAAAACATATCCCACAGTCATTTAACCATATGTATCTCAGTTTACCCACCTGTAAACTAAAATTACCCTTTATGGATACTGTTATTCAGCAAAAAACATTTGAAAATTCTTAGGAATGTAGTATGAAAACAGAAATGACCCAGAAAATATCATTTTAAAGAAACAAACAATACTGAAAGTGCACTGTAAACTGTCAAACAAAATATGCATTCACAAGCACATTGATGGTACTAAAGCTACATTTTACATTTCGTTTCTCAACAAAACAAAGACAAGTGCTACTGCATTCACTGCATATGCAAACACACATTGTACACTGTAACAGATGTACACTGAAGGAAGAACAATCCAAGAAGTTTTGGTAAGCATTCCCTGGGCTAGATTCTTTGAGTCCTGAACTTTGTATAAGCATTTACAGCAGGAAATAGTATGTGCTAATTATTCTGCTCTAGTAGCACTAGAATGGGGTGTAAACCCCGTTATATGTATGTTTCAGGCATAGCCTGAATTGTTCAATATATTCTGAGCACATGTATCATATCAACCCCTTCAGGCAACACAAGCAAACAATTTGTGAGCTGTTCTGCATGGCCAAGACTGAGGCACTTCTAGGCCTATGCAGAACTTTAGGTTAATTAAGGAAAAATAATCAAACACTTTGGTACTAACAGACTGTAGGTGCCACTGGGATATTATGATAGCTGAGCAGATGTTTTGAAGATTTTGGACTTGGGTGAAGTATAGGCATTTAGGGTGCTGACAGAAGTGGCATTTGTCGTGTGATAGGCCCCTTGACAGAAGTACACTTCTACAAAGCACTTTAAAAGTGCCCAATTGCATGATAAATTAACCTTCATGTAAGGTCCCAGCTGGGGTTTGCCCAGCTTGAACTGTAGGGCGGTAAGTGTATTGGAGCACCCCCCCTTTCCCTTGCTAAGGTGGGGGGGCTCCAATCCACCTGTCCCTCCCCCCTCCTCTAGCTCAGGCTGGGTAAACCCCAGCCCAGAGCTCCCTCCTCCCCACTCCCATCCTGTACACAGCACTGAAGCTGTGGGGGGAGGAGGGAGGGCAGTGGGAAAACAGGATGGGACACACTAGGGGAGAGAGGCTGCAGGCAGGCAGCTCCTCCTGGATTGGCTCCAAAGTGGAGCTCGATTCTCTCCCCCACCCAACAGCAAATGTTTGATGGGTCAGGGGGGATTGCTCTAACTCAGCTCTTTCCATGAAGTGCTGTGAGTTAGAATGGGGAGCTGTATGTCTGTCAGCACCCTTAAGTCCTTTTGTGGATCTAACCTTAGGAGTCTATACAACATGCAGAACAATGGAGAATCTGCCCCAATTTTATGCAATACTCTTCACCTGGTGTTATGGGTCTAATGCACAGGACAAACTTTGCACCAGTCCACTGAACAGTAAGACTGTGCACTGGAATAGTAAGACCAAAATGTTGTCTATGGTGCCACTTAAGAAGTATGGTTTTTAAGCACCTAATATAGGGGTCTCACACATGTAAAGTAGTACATGGTCAGTGCATATCGCTGCTCCCATAATCCTCTGAGTTACAGAATAACATGTGGGCCAGTGACAGCTAGTGTAGCTTAGAAAAACTGTGAGGTGACTCCTAAGCTACATCAATGGACTACAACTAGAGCAAAACTAACTGCAGTTGTGAGTTATAAAAATGGTTCCTTTTCAACTCCTCTAAATTGCTCCTGATGGTCCTTGGCTATAGCTGTGAATCTGAACTTGTATGTTTATTGTGATAGCGAAGAATTTACTTCTGTTTAAAATAAATTGGCATTTCCATCCCTCTAATGTTTGGTGTTTAACAACAAAGCCATTTTAACAAATAAATTTTAAGTTGTGATCCTGGATCTATGAAACAATTAGAGCATTTCAGCACTCAAAAGCTTCATTTAAACAAAAACAGAATCTTTGAATGGTTACGGTGATAAAAGCTGCCTTTAGCCTATTGAGAGCTGTTGAAAAAGTTTTAAAACCACCCTTCCTTTTTCAGATCAGGTGGTCACTAACAACGATGAGCAGAAATGTTCACTTGAGATTAAATTTAAACATATATTTTAGAAAAAAATGTAGCCTTTTCTAACCATAAGGTTTCACAATCCTGCTTTCTGATTTCATGGATTGATTAATAGGGGTTTTCATAGGTGCAGTAAAGTCAGTGAGACTTTACAGGCATAACAGTTTCCCCATATTAACCACAGTTCAGGAACAGGGCCTAATATGAACAAAACAAACAAACAAACAAACAAAAATCCAAATATATTATGCCACAGGTTAAGTAGTTGTCAGAGAACCCACAAGTTCTTATAAGACCAAATACTCAACTTCTATTGGTCCAAGGGTGCAGACTTTTTTATTCAGTCCTAGATTATTAGACAGAGATGAGCCCAGACTGACTCTCTCAAGGTCTGGCATTTCAGAAATAACAAGAACTACAACTGAATGACTCATGAAATTTGAAGGCTGAGATTCTCAGCTTTCAACCAGTATGAGGCCATGTCTATCAGGTACATGTACCAAGCTTGACACCAACATCCTCAAGTATGCATGAGGGGCTGCCTGATCCACAAATCAGAAACGGTGAATCTGCTTCTGTTTGTTGCTATGGGTGGGTTAATTAGCATAAGGGTAGGATAACTACTCCTGTCACTCAGTAATGGCAATTAGCTTGTTGGATACACAAGTGCAGCTACTCTCTTTCTAGTTTAGGAGGCAGCTTGTCTCCAGTAATGCCATGTGTTTGAGGGTGCTGTGGCTGGCATAGTAAATTTATACACAGACCTGGCCATAAGCACTTATTTATAGTTAAGGAGGCTGTGAAATGAAATAAGAATAATAATTTTGCTTTATTTTTGTCTGGTACTCGAATTAAGACATGATTTGTTAAGCGCTTAAGTATGGCAAAAAAGCAACAAACTCGCTGAAAAGTTGAAACAGCAGATTTCAAAGGGCAACAGACAAATTTGTTCTAATGGCTAGCGTGCTATGTTCTCCTAAAATCATGAAGGAAAGAAAGACCATCTCTGAAAGATGATCTGCTGAATATGTGACTTATAATATTTCAATCTTTACCCAAACATTAGTTCTTAGTCTGCAATCCGTAAGAAAACAAAACATCTATCAGCGGTGAAAATTAAAAAAAATCTTGGGTAAGACTGACTCTCCCCCACCCCCCAGTGATTCATTATTCTGATACCTCTTTCCTTCGCATCTTTAATTACTGTTCTTTTGTTAATCCTCATCTGGTTTGAAAATTTCAATTACTTTTGTTGACATTTACTATCAACATGACTGTGGACCAGAATCAAAACAACACTGATCTGGAGGTAAACTGATAAGCTTTCACTGAATGTCTGAACCCAGAATCTTTAGAAACTCTAAATTTCAAAACCAGTTTTGGGTGTTATAATCACAGAAAAGTTAAATGTTTAAAGGGAATATGCATAGGGAACAAAAGGCAGATAGGGTATATTACATTTTACACAGCAGGCATTTATCTGGCATGAAATTAATGACAAAACTGTAATCAAAGCACTGTCATCTAAAACACAACTATACAGCAGCAAAAGGTAATGAATGCCAGATTTTCTTATTCTACTTGAGTCACCTATGAGTTATTTTAGGCAGACTTCTGCTAGCGTTATGTGCATACTATGAATTAGAAAGTATCTAGCTTTTCCCAAAATATCCATTTGCAATATCCTAGAGGCTAAAATGCCGATATTGCTCCTTACTGTTATTTTTAATCCCCAAAGTCTAATAAATGTACAATAATAGTGCATATATTACATTCAAAGGCTAAAACAATTTCTTTGAGTATATCCATGACATGCACATGTTTATTGATCGAATTAGAACTCCCAGTGTAATTTCCATCTCTACGATAGATGCATTGTACTAAGAAACAAGGACTGTAGCAGTTCACATGAGCCACTGTTCTTTTTCCTTTCTATATTTCTCAGACCACTTGAGAGTGAGTTCAAGATAAATATTTGGTTTATGGGGTTTATAGTCCAGGTAAACTATCTGTCCAGTCTTTTTGGGAATAGCTTTTTCAATCTGAGTTCCTTCATGCCATTCATTAAAAGAGGTGATGGAAATAATTTCTGGTCGCACCAAAAGGGCTGCATTATACGCAGTTTCATAATATTTCCCATTGACACGATTGCGGGTGTTGTGGTTGTTCCATGGTCGGATACTGGTGTCTACATAACCTGGTCCCACACTTGGAATGAACATTAAGTTGTTACTGTCACAAAAGGATTTTAGACTTGCCCAATTATGGTGAGACGAGCCATAAGAAAAGCCATTGGTGGCAAAGTATGTATAAATTCCATCAAAACCACTTCTGTGGATTTCATGTTTATGTTTTTCTTCTACTAGAAGTGCAATGAACAATCCATCATATGGAGTATTGCGAATGCTTTGTGATCCAGAAACAGTTAACAGATTTGCCCACATTTCAGGTATTGTTACATAAGAATCATAAACATAAAACATGGGAAGCATTCTGCCTGTGCTGGTCTTATGCCTGTAAAAGGCTGGATGTCCTCCATATCTATAAAGGAAGCAAGTAAAAGTATGATTAAATATTGATAAATAATATGCCATTTGGCAGAAAATCCTTGCCAGATTCAGGATTGAAGATTTTTGGTGAATTTTAAAGCTAGGTGCATTTGTTTTGACAACATGGACATTCACTTATTTTTGACTTGCTATATGCTAGAAGGGTACATACTGAATACTGCAAAGAGCTAATAAATTAATATTGTAGATTACTTATCTAGTGTCAAGTCTTACAAATAACTATCACTCCTCTCTCAAAGGACAACATACCAACTCAGTGTATCAATGTGAAAGATACCATAAGTGACAGAAATAAACAAAATAACTAGTACCTCTTCAAATCTCATGCTGGATTAAAGTCATTATTGGTCAGCCTTTAGAATTCTGGCTGTCAACCTGTCACCTTAGAAAATTCTTTAAGGAAAACCATGTATGAATGGCATAAATTTTAAATGAAAACAGTTAAAATCATCAGCTTGAGGTGTCAAGAAGTACGTTATAATAATAAATATTAAATGATGTTGTCATTTGTATTCCTATGCATAATTCCTGTCCTAACACTTGATGGTTCTTATTAACGGACGGATCTAAAAATGATAGAACTTATTGTTCTGAGTTGTCATTACATTATGAACAAAACAGTCCCTTTAATTTTCTTCAGTATTCTCACATCAAATTATATGAATCCCAAGTTGCATTATAGTTTCAAGATATTATATGAAACTATTTGTGTCTGCGATAACCCCAAATTTTAGAAAGTACTTACTTGTCTATTATGTACTTGACATTGTTGTACATACTGCGATCATCTCTATCTTTGTAGGGCTCAATATGAAAAGTGACCTATAAGATAAAATGCAACATATATTTGAAAATATTATGAAATATCATACAGGATCCAGTTTTGTATATTTCTCAAATATTACATCAGTAGCATTACATAAGGAGAAACGATAACACATTTCATTATGCTAGCCATGCAATTTACTTGGGCAATTTACCTGGAAAAAGATCTAAGTAGGAATCATCATCTTTGGACCAAGGTTATTTATACCAATTCTACATGATTCAGAAAAAAAATGAAATTCCTACTCCATTAGTAGTATTATATAAATTACTACTTTCTTGATCCATAGGCTATTGTGAGTAATAAAATGTTAGTAAAAAAAAGTGTAAAATAGAGGGTATTCTAAGCTAGTTAAATAAACAAAGTTTATCTGTTTACATGTCAAAAACTGATTATAACTGATGAAAAATGTTTATATTCAATTTCTAAACAATATATTCCAGTTTTGTTGATAATATTTCTCCAAGGAGAGCTTTCAGTAACAAATTAGATTTTAAGATGCAGGATGTGAGAACTTTAGCTTTAATTTAGAATTTTATAGACCCATCAATGACAATAAACATTTAGGACTAAATCTAATATATTGTATTGCTACTGTTCCAAATTTCAAGCTTGGGGCTTATGAAATGTTTTATGCTATAAAATGTCAGCTCATTTCAAAGTAAAAACTCCATTGTTTTGAACTATCCAATTAAAGAGAAGAGTATATTACATTAATCACTGCTGCTCGTTTTTCAGAAGCAATTTTTAGGCTACAATGCTTTTAATGAAAACAATATTTAGTTACTCACTATAACAATATCAAATTTCATTTCAGTGAGACAATATTTTTGTCAGTCACAAAGCAAGTAAAATAGAAACAGACTTAACTGCTAGGATTGTTAATTTTCCCTCAGCTATCCTATTATTTCATTTTTAACTTCAGTCAAAGAGAAAAAAAGTCATATGTGACTAAAATACTACCGTTAACATCTTGGTATATTCTATATTAAACTTTGTATCTTTCTCTTTAGAGTGAAGGTAGTTTCTTTTCCATGTTGATTTTGAATATATTGATATGTCGATCCTTTTTTAATTATAACCATTTGCTTGCTCACATTTCAAGAATGCTTACAAAGTACAGTACTAAAGATGATAGTCACTGTGTTTTGAACAAACATTGTATACAGACACAGAAAAATTATAGCAATAATACTGAAGGCATACTGCTTGATAGCTTTTCTTTTTAATTTTGCTTCAGTTGCTTTAACAGTTGAGGGAAAAATACACTTTATTTTATTCAAACAAAAAAGAGAATGATATGGAACAGTGGGGCTCAACCTTTCTGCCCAGTGGGCTGGATGAGTGATGCCCAACCCAACTGCAGACTCAATTGCAGCTGGCTGTCCTGATTCGGCACCCAGACCTGGCATGCAGGGCCCCACCTTGCAGCACAGAGGGGAGCGGGGTCAGCTGCACAGGGGGAGGAGCCATAACTCATTCCCAATCCAGTCCCACAGGGAGGAAACAGGGCTTGGCCCCAACCCACTGCACAAGGGTTAGGAATTTAGCAAAGCCAGAGGGTAGTAGTATTAAATTGCCACCACTCCCCTGCTGCAAAACTTCCAACCTGCAGGCTACAGGCCACTGCTTCACAGGCTGGATTCAGCTTACAGGCTGTGCACCTTTGGTCTAGATCAGGGGTAGGCAATGTTTTTGGCCAGAATCTTGAAAAAACTGCAATGTCTATCTTGTAAAGTGCCAGACTGCCAGCATGCCAGAAAAACAAAATCAGGGTGGGTGGGGGGGTACATGGTAGGATGCACTGCATATTAATATATTTAATAAATCAGAACTGTGTTTTTCCCCCCTAGACAGTAAATGCCAGGCTTTCTAAAAATTCTAATCCTGGTGACAAGGAATAAAACTTCATATGCTACCTCTGTTGTTGTGTATTTTTTATTTTTTTTGTTAAGCATGTTGTGATCAGCAAGAGGGAGAAGGGAGGGTACAGGAGGTGACGGAGAGAGAAGGGAGAGAGGATAGGGTGTTACTACTAGGATTTTTTTGGCAGAGCCCTCCAAGGACTGATAGAGCAACTTGTCCAATGTGGTATCAAGTGAACTTTAATAGTAACCCCTAAGCTTTATTACAAGTTTTTTTCCCCATAATACGACATGGCAAGTGGTTCCTTAGATGTTACAGCAGTGACCTTTGTGGGTACCAGGCTTTGGGTCCCCTACTGGGTGTGTTGGATCTTAGTTTCTGGAATCCCTGCTGTCCAAACAAGAATTCCAAGGTTGCTCCTGTCTCCCCAGGGTGGCAACACAAAACACACACTGTCTCTTTGTTTGTCCACTACTTTTGTAACTTTCTGACCTCAAACTGTGCAATCCCCTGGTCTGTGCCAAGCATTCCTTATATGGTACACCCATCCCCTGGCACTGT